CCGTCGTCTGCTGCGTATAGCGCATATTGGCGGCGACCGTCAGTTTTACTTAATTATTAATTTTTGTAACTAAATAAGTATATGCAATAACAATACGTTATTGTGCAATTACAATCGAGATATGTGCAATTTATTGGCACTCTGTGCAATTAGAAAAAAACTTTATTTACGGAGATATCGATATTGCAGTACTAGTAAAAACCATAATTTACTTTTTGATTTTTTATAAAAAATTGGAGTGTGCAATTACAAATACAAGTATAATCGTAATGTGCTATTAAAAATACTTCGACTAGTATTTTTTTTATTACAAATATCATTATTTTGCAGGCTGGAGTGGGGGGGGGGGGGTTAACCAAAGGTAGTATAAAACCAAAAAAACACATAATAGTAGGAATAGCAATGAAAAGTTTGACAGGCAGTCAAAAAGTAATTGATATTTTAAATAAACAAGGTCATTGTTTAAGCTACTCTCAAATATTAGAATTAGAAACATCAGCTGCATACTCTTGCACTTCTAATAATACACTGTGCCCTGTTGGTCTTTATCAAACTTCGATATTATCTTCTGGCGTTGCTTGGGACAACTTCGATAGATATGTTGAAACAAACTCTGGAAAAAATACATTACATGACACCGTTGGAATCATGTATCAGAGCATACCGACACAGGAGCAGTTACGTGAAATACACATACGAGAGAATTCTCGTATCGAAACAGAAATTACTTCAGGAAACATCAGAGATATTTCTGGTCGTAGAAAGAGATCTTTTGAACTTAATAAGATCGATAATTACAGTTTTGCCAAACAAAGTCGGCCTCAATTTTATGATGCGACCGTACAGCTGATAGAAATAGATAATCCCGATAATTTAAATAATTTTTATGTTATGATTTTTTCGTGGTTATTGTCTAATGATTTTAGTATAATTAACACACCTATGTGAATTGGATATAACGCGAAAATTATAAATGATAATTCAAGTACAGAAATTGTGGAATACTTAACTCAAATAAATAGTTCACCGATGGATCCAGCTGTGCTTAGAGAAACTATGATTCGTAGTTTAAAAATAGCTGAAGAATGTGGTAAAAATTATTTTGCCGTTACTTACGATTTAGCAATGGCCAAAATTGCGTTACGCATACAGAGTGCTGAGAGTCAATTCAACAAGCTATTCATTCAATTTGGATCGTTTCACATAATGTTGTCATTTTTCAAAGCAATCGGAAAATTCATTGCAGGTTCTGGATTGACAAACATTCTTATCGACAGTGATACACTAGCAAATGGCTCAGTCAATGCTTTTTTAACTGGAAAGCATTTTAATCGGTGCAAAAAAATAGATCCAAAACTTTCGCTCGCTCTAAAAATTTTGCATTTTCAAAGATTTTTACAAACAAATGAACACGATTTAGATAATGTAAAAGAATATTAGGAATCATTTAATGAACAAAACGAGAATTATCAAATAGAAAATGAAAATATTGTAGCAATATTTAATAAATATCAGAGTTATGCAAAAGAAACACTAGGGGAGCCACGGAAAAACGCCACAAATATACTTAATGTACACAAGATTGGTGGATTATTATATGATGTTAGATTTTTCTATATATTTACAACTGTTCATTTACGTTCTAAAAAAAATAACAAATATTTTTTTGCTTTTAATCATCAAAATTATGCAAGATATTATATGGCTATTTATTTTTAAATAAAACTAATTTTACGGATTTTATTTTTTTATTTATTTTATGTTATCAGGATTTCGGATGACTAAATCATCATACATAGATGTTTTAGTCATCCGAAATCCTGATAACACTATTGGTCATACTGTGTACAGAAAAAATATCCATACCAACCGATATTTAAATGGTGAATCTCACCATCATCCTTCACAGTTAGCTACCGTGGGAAAATCTTTGTTTCAGAGAGCACGAGGGATCTGTGACAGAAAACATCTGGCCGCCGAGCTTCAGCACGTCGAGCAAGTACTGCAAGACAACAAGCTTCGGGTCCCGCGCCTACGTCACAGTGACCGAGTGAAGCCAGCCACAGTCGAGCGTGTGCCTGCTGTACTACCCTATGTCAGAGGAGTCACAGACAAGGTTGGCTACATCTTGAAGCGAGCTTCCATTAAAACGTACTTCAAGCCGCTGAAGAAGATTAGTCAATTTTTACCATCCGTCAAGTGTCAAATCCCTCTACAAGATGCAGGAGTGTACAAGCTGGATTGTGAATGTGGTCTCTCGTACATAGGACAAACAAAAAGATCTATTAAAACCCGCGTTAAAGAACATATAGCTGACGTGAAGCACCGACGTATCGGGAAGTCTGCAGTTTGTGAACATGTTCAAGATCGTCCCCGCCATTACATTAGATTTGATAGACCACAAATCCTCGCAAAAGAACACCGATTCCTCCCAAGGATGATTCGAGAGGCTATTGAAATTAAAAAACATCCTAATTTCAATAGAGAAGATGGATGGGTGCTGCCATCTGCTTGGGATCCCATAATTAGTAAAATCAAATCCAAACCCAAGTATACCACTGCTAGACTTCAAGATACTGTAAGCTCATTCTGCGTAAATCGAACCAAAAATTGATATTAAAAAACTGAAGGTAGCCGGGCTAACTATGACAGCAGGACGTCAAACAACTCAGTCCCCCGTGACCACGGGTGCTGGAAAGCACCCGAAACGTCGGGAATATATAAAAATAAGTTAATATACGCGATAAAATCCGTAAAATTAGTTTTATTTAAAAATGTGTAGTGTTCGCGTAAATATAAGAAATCATTATGGCTATTTATTGTGATAAATTAAGTAATGTAGAAAATACACACCCCGGATTATTGAACGATTGTAAAACAACGTTTTTAGGCGTTCGTAGAACTAACAAATCTTTTTCAGGAATTCCAACAGATTTAACTTTGGAACAAACGATAAATGCTGATGCCGCCTCTAGAGCCTCTGGAATAATAAATTTAACAAATTCTTATTCGGCGAGACAAAAATGGTCAATAACTCACTCATTGAGGACAAAAATCATTTCACAATTATTAGAATTTTGTGATATCAAAGCTAAAGATGATATAACAAAAGATTTAGAACAAACATCGATTAATAGTTTCAAAAATCAATTAGATGATTTAATCAAATATATAAATCAATCTACGAATCCATTTTCGCAAGATTTGTCTGAAAATCATTTATATAACATTGCCAAGGGTCAATCGGTAGGTGACGAAGTTTACCAATTTTTACACTGCATAGAAGTTAAAGGTGAGAGTCAACAGTCTGTGTTTATAAATGAAACTAAAACAAAATTCGAAAGATTCAACCAAGCGATTAGAAGAAATAAAATAATTAATTTTGAGCAAAAAAATTTAGAAGAAGTTAAAATCAATGGCAAAATTAAAGAAATAAAACTACAAAGAGATGTATTTGGTCGTTTACTTTATGCATCTTTAAAGCAGAAAATTGATATTGAAAAAGCTTTAAATTATCCTTTATTACCGATATCATTTTCTTTTTGTCACACTGACGGTACGATATGTAAAACGTCAAAAAGTTTAATAATTAAAGAATTACTTTCTTATTAAAGTGAAATTGAAAATCCTCCAGATGCCGATATCCACATAATTGATGGGTTTTATTACACACATTAAAAAATATACCTGATAAGTACGGAAAAATATCGAGCCACATTTTGAAATTAATAACTTTTAATAGAAAAGAAGTGCATATTATTTTTGATAAGTATAAAAGTCCAAGTTTGAAAGGTTTCGAGTATGAAAGAAGAGGAGAAGAGGATACTCGTTATGATGTACGCAAAGATTTAAAGCGTCCTGCCAATTTCTGCAAGTTGCTAAGAAGTTCTAATTTTAAAGAGAAATTTGTGAAATTTTTAATCGAAAAGACTGGCAAAGCGACGAGTATACTGCAATATTGAACAATACAACAGTAACAGTGGTAGAGCCACGCGGCAGCTTTTGCTGTCGCACGGATGGGCCGGCTCGAACCGGGGTAGTACCACGACCTCACAGAAAACCAGCGTGAAGTAGAGGTTTACCTCTGCGTTTTGCTTGGTGAGTGCAGGTGGCCGGAGGCCCTTTTTACTGGAAATGAGGCATTCCATCTTAGTCCTCACGGGTGACAACGCATCTACATTTTGATTTGTAACAGAGGATAGATGTAGATGTCTATGGGCCGCAGCAACCACTTACCATCAGGTGGACTGTGTGCTCGTTTGTCACCTTACCCTATAAAAAAAAATACACTGTTGAAAGTCAACTATGATTATTGCTACACCTACGAGTGATATGAAAATAAAAAAAAAACAGTTGATCACAATCTTTCGTGTTTCCACGAAGAAGCAGACACAAAAATAATGTTTCACATTTGTCAACTTAATGTTAATTATCGTGTTCAAGTACACTGTTCGGATTCCGATATATTAGTTATAATATTAGCTAAATTTAAATATCTGAAAGAAGACGTTGACGTTATAGTAAATCTGAGCACAAGCAAGAAAAAAATGTATGCACACATGAACGAAATATACAAAAATATAGGCGAGCGATTGGCTGTATCTCTTGCAGTTTGCCACAATTTTACAGGCAATGATTACAACCCTGCATTTTATCGTAAAGGAAAAAAAACTTTTAATATTTAAAAAAAAAAAAACAGCAATTTTCAAGATGCATTTATTGAGTTACTACGTTCGCGCACCGATTTATCGTGTTCAAACGATATCTTTAAAACGATCGAAGAATATACGTGCAGAATGTATGCTTTAAAAACGAAAAATGATGTTAATAAAGGTAAGAGCCGAGATGTTTGATAAAAATTATCGTTTCAAGAACGAAAATGAAGAATTATTTAAAAAAAAATTGGCTACGATCCCTCAAACTTACCACCAACAAAACAAGAACTGTTACAACAAGTAAGGCGAACACAGTATATTAGCAGCATCTGGTGCAATGCACATATGAGGAATCCAACTGACAAAATGCCAGAGGATTATGGATGGATATTAATTGATAATAATTATCATTATTATTGGTTTGACGGACCACAAAGTCCATCGCTCGATCAACTGTCTTCAATAGAAGGTATTGTATTTATAATATTTAAAATTCTTATTTCTAATGTAACGATCCTTATTTATATAATGTTACTTCTTTTATTACAGAATCTGAACAGTATGATACCGATAATTCTGAAGATGACGATAACATCACACATAGTGAAGAGTCATCGAGTGACGAATCTGAGGATTGAGTGATTTTTGTAATATTTATCATTAAATTATTTATAAGTTTATTTTTTTCATGCACTGTTACATTGAATTATTATTAAAGTTCTGATAATACACTCAAAATACAAGATTTTACTTTTATAACATTATTTTAATACAATTGAAACCATTGGTTACAAGACATAAGTACGGAGCACATATTAAATGATTCGTTTTTTTGTTTTTGTAGGTTAACTAAAAAAATACCATTTTTTTGTAGGTCACTATTATATCTAGATTAAGAATTAAGTAAATAATCATAAATTTTTCGTGGCATACGGTTATTAATCAAAAAAAGATTAACATAATCTTGACAACTTTCGAGTGTAGGTCTCAAAAAAATTACAACAAATTTGTATGCCGATGCATTTTTTATAAAAAATATATATTTTGCAAGCCCCAAAACAAAAATTAGCTTGTTATTAATAAATTTTTTCAAGTCACCATTCTGACATGTTAGAGCTGGGGGTCACTCGGAAGGTACCGTTCATTTTGTATGCCACAAGTTTTTCTCAGTTTTCCATCGTATTTTCTCGAAGTATTGATTTTTAGAAACTGTTATTATTTAATTTGGGACACTTATCAAATCGACGTGTTTCGCTCCCTATTGCGCTTTTTCCTCCCAGTATCAGGATTTGGTCCAATGATAAAAGTTGGGTGTCTCGTCAAAACGAAGCTGTGTATAAACTTTCAGCCTGTTATTAATCATTGCCTGTTATCAACAACTTCTTTTTTAATTTTTTCTGTTAAGAATCAAACGTATAACACCATGAAACTATTGGCATACAAAAAAAAACGAAAGCGATTAATTACAAATGAACTTTTCGAAATTTCAAAACAAATTAAATCTTGAAAACATAATCCGCCTTATTCCAAACACGGACTTAATATAGTACTGGAGTTAGTAATATATTTAAACCATAAACTAAGAAAAACGTTATTACAAAACGAAGATTATCTCTGGTTCAAGGATTATCTATGGTATTAAAGTTAAACTTTCGAGACCCCTAGTTTAGCTATGGTACTAACCAGTACTAACCTTTTTACCTTTCTATATAGTTTGTGGTACTCTATACTAACCTCAATTTCGGACTTTCGGTACTTCGGTATATCTTACGTGAGGATTTAGTGCACGACCCTCGAAGATGCCCATTGAGTCCTGAAATTCAAGTGGTTTGTGCATTACGCAACTGGGCTCGCCATGAAGTAAGTGCTGTTTATAATCTTGGTGGGGTCAATGTACCGAACATTACGCTAGATAAAAAGCCAAAAAATACATATTATTGTTTTATTCGTAATTCAAGACGATACAGCTGATTTACATGGTGTGTCTCGACCAGTAGTCAGTAGGACATGTAAAAAAGTAGCGGAAATTTTGTCACGGAAGTCCCGAGAATTTATTAAAATGCCTACTACTTTAAATGAACAGCAGGAAACCATTAGGAAATTTCGCAGTATGGCTAATTTTCCTACAGTAATTGGCGCAATTGACTGTACTCACATACGAGTAAAGAAAGTGAATGCTGATGGGGGTCAGTTATATATTAATAGAAAAGGATTTTCTTCAATTAATGTATAGGTAATATACAAATATTTTAAATAGCTGTGATTGTCTCTTAATAACTTTACTTTATCATAATAGAAAATAATTTGTTTGTCTATCTTATGGTAATAAATATATATTAAAATAAACCAGAAAAACATAAAGTACTAATGAGCTCTTATTTTACAGGTGGTTTGTGATGCTGACCTGAAAATCATGGACATTGTTACCAGGTGGCGTGGTAGTGTACATGACTCCAGAATATTCCGAGAATGTAGACTAAAACAGAGGTTTGAGGCTGGTGCATTCTCTGGAATATTACTTGGTGACATTGGCTATCCTTGTACTCCTTACCTATTTACACCGCTGCTGAACCTCACAACACCACAAGAAGAAAGATATAATAGGAGCCATATCCGTACCAGGAACACAGTGGAAAGATGTTTTGGTTTGTGGAAGCAATGGTTTCGTTGCCTATTAAGAGGTATGTTTGGAGATATTGAAATAGCAAAAAAAACAATTGTTGCATGTGCTGTACTATACAATATGGCCATCGACATGAGAGAAGATGTGTTTTCTGGTGAGAGAGATAGCATTGAACAATATTCATCTGAACCTATAGTACAAAGATATATTGCACCATCAATAAGGGGAAATATTAGGAGAAGACAGTTTATTGAAACTCATTTTCAGTAGGTAAACATTTTTTTTACATATTTATATAACTATTTATAATTAAAATTTATAATTATATTTATATTTATAAAATTGTCAAATTTTTTCAATTTTCTAAAGCTATGTATATATAATTTATTTTATTTTGTTATTCAGAGGCCAATTTTGGCTATAAAATTACATTAAAGATCAATAAATGTATAAGACAAATATAATAATATTTCTTTTTGATTTCAGACATAATACCCATTTATAAAGGAAAATATTTCTGCAGAGCCGTTGTCAGCTGTCAAAGAATAACGACTACATATTCACCAATATGAAATAAATTCAGGGGAGTATTGTGATAATATTTCATTTATTGAGCAAAATGTTTTTATTTAGGCTATAAATGATTGTGTTTCAGGGAAAGATGCGGGGTACAGCACATTCCACATCAATATGAAGCTATATTATATAAAGACTTAAGTGCTGTAGAGATATGTTTAGATTTTTTTAACACGGGTCCACGGGGAGTAGGACTGTATGATGACTAAGTAATTAGGTTTAGTTTTTTTTATTATAGTTTTTCACTATTGTATATTATATTTCATTGTTATGTAAATAAAATGCATATTAATTATAATTATTTATTTTAATTATTCATAAAAGATGTACAAATATTTGCAGCAATTAAGTACCTGAAAATAATAGTTTCATATATGAGGATATTTACAAACATGTATCTGATATAGTCTCAAATATTTAGTTTTTTTTTATAGGATACACACACACACACACACACAAACACACACGCACAAAAAACACACACACACAAAATCTGATGTTAAGTAACTGCTGTGGTGCATAGACGTCCACATCTATCCTCGACTACAAATCAAAATGCAGATGCGTTGTCACCCGTGTGGAGTAAGATGGAATGCCTCGTTTCCTGTAAAAGAGGTCTCTCTCATACAACATTTGTACAAAATTTATCCAAAATTTGTCAATAAACAAGTTTAAATGTTTTATTAAAGAAAAATTTTATAAAAAGGTTATTATAATATTAAAGAATACATAAATGAAAATATTGGAAATACTGGAATTGAGGTGATCGCCACCATGGTGGTTCTATTAAAATTCATTTAAAAATTGCACAAATAAAATTATTGTTAAGAGAAATATGTTTATAAAAAAGTCCCGCTGGGTTTCTTACTAGTTCTTCCCAGGACTGAGGTATTTTCCGAACCAGTGGTAAATAAAAAATGTCTTTCAATAAGTATTCTGTAATAATCTATATTTAATAAAAATCATTCTATTCTATTCTCGTTCTATACACTCACCATAATAAACACAGCAGCGTTAAGCTGCTATTTAACTTGTGTTTTTCTGACTTTCTAATAAAGATATTTGTAACTCTAATTTTCTAATTTTTAGGTTAGCTATTTTAATATTGTATTTATGTTCCTCATCCATCATTTCCAGTTGTCTTTTTTTAAAATCTGTGTTACTTTTTACAATTGTTTGGTGTACATCTTCTTTTCTGTAAAATGAAATGGAATACTTAATGTAAGTTTTGTAGTTATTTTAGACATTTACAAAGTATTCTAGAGTAATAAAAGTGCACTTAACCTTGTACACCAATTAAAGAAATACTTTTTAATTATTTTTAAATCAATTCATATTAAACTTTGCGCTTTTAATATTTGAAAACATGAAACAATTTTCAGTGTTTAAATACTAATTATCACATTTTAAAAAGTATGTAATGTATCAGACTATGTAATTTTTTCAACATACCTATTTTGCAAGCTATTTTTCCTGTTTTTAATTTTTGTTATACCCCTAGTTATAACAGTTTTATTGTTGGTTATTTTCACCATTTTGGCACTTTCTTCTGTATCTGTAGTTGGATCTATCTCTAAAAATTAATATAAATATAACAGTTTTAGAAAATTAACATGTATAATATTTACAAACTTGTGTGCATATGATTGTAACTATAATAATAATCTATTTTGCTTTTTAATAAATATTCAATCAGTATTATTTACCTTGCACATATACAACATTGGGTTCTGGATTTTCTACATTTTTAACTATAGCTGTGTCTGTTTTTTCAAAATTAAGGCGAGGCTTAGGGTCAGCAAATACTTCTTTTGATGTTGTAGCCCAAAGAGTATAGTAACTGTCCTATACAGGAAAAGAGAGCCCACTCGCGCGAAATCTGTCAACCGAGGAGTACTAGCGCCGTCTGGTGTCGTTTCGCCACAATATTGTGAGAATGTGTGCGTGCGTATACACATGCACCTCTACATAAACACCTATGTTCATGGTAATTCATTACGGTTTATGTACTAGGATTAATTATCAACAACCAACTGTGAATTAAACATTTGAAACATTTTTAAAAGATAACTGCATAGTAACTAAAAGCTTCAAATGTTTAATTTAATAGTCGGTTGTTAATAATTAATCCTAATACATAAAGTGTGCTTCATAATTTGTAAATAGGAATTAAGTATAATGTTTTAACGTGAATTAAATTAAACACAAATAATTAGTACATTATTCTATATTTTTTGAACTTAATGAAAATAAAGGAGATTGATAAAGATTTAACATAGTTTTGACAATGCAACACATAAAACTAATATTTTTATTCTAATGTTTAAATCATTATATATTAATAACACAGTGTCTATACAAAAATAGTAAATTTCATTATTTTAATAAATGAATCATAACAAACTTTAACATTACAAAATGTTAAGCTAATATCATAAGGGTAAACTTAAACGGCTATGAATAAATCCAAAGCTGTAATCATGCTTGGCAAGTGGGTTAGCAACTGCAGTTATTAGGAAGATCAGTCCACCTGCTGATGTGTTTCCCTCTGTCACCTCTTACGATGAAACCCACGGAATGATAATATGGAGTTGTGGATATTCTGAGACTGTCACTACACGGTAATCCAATATTTTTTTACAATAAATGATTCGAAACACAGCTTTATTATAACAAAATATTAAACTAATGTCTTTAACAATAAATTTTCACAAACAAAATATGAAAATAACATTTTTTAACAATAAATTATTCATAAACATAGTTTTGATATAACAAAATATTAAACTGAAAAAATATTAAATGCTTTGGCATATGGTCTGACACAACTGGTTACTTCGTCTACGCGGATTCCAGATGTGGAGGATCATACACCTTCCCTGTTGGACTTTCTGCTAACCTCTCATCCGGACGGATATTAGGTTGGCGGTCCACCACTGTGCGATTTAGAAGTTTTCTCCCTCGCACAACTTCCTTGTGGAATCAATTACCACCAGTGAATTTTCCGGACCAATACAACTTAGGAACCTTCAAGAAAAGAGCTTACACCTTGCTAAAAGGCCGGCAACGCATCTGCAATTCCCCTGGTGTTGCGGTTGTTCATGGGCGGCGGTAGTCACTTACCATCAGGTGAGCCGCATGCTCGTTTGCCCCCTCTTCTATTTAAAAAAAAAAGTTTCCTTCGATGTCCCTCTTGGCTCTTCACACCGATGATTGGCGGTCCACCACTGTGCGATTTAGAAGAAGTTTTCTTCCTCGCACAACTTCCTTGTGGAATCGATTACCACCAGCGATTTTTCCGGACTGATACGACTTAGGGACCTTATAGAAAACAACCTACTCCTTTTTAAAAAGCCGGCAACTAATAATCTAACTGGCGAAAAGATAAAAAGAGGGCTTGGCCTCTTGTTATTCATAACAGCTTTGACAATAGAAAATATGAAATAATATTTGTTTAATTAAATAAGTGATTCATCAGAACACAGCTTCGACAATCGCCTCATAGAAGAGATATTTTCCATAGTTGCAACGCTTGGCAAGCAGCTTGCCAACCGCAGCTTTTAAATTTAGTCGTTATTAGGAAGGAACTGCTGTCCATCTTCTGATTTGTTTCCCTCTGTCGCCTCTAATGACACTCACGGGATGATATGGACTGGTGGATATTCTTACTGCGCCACACACAAACTAACATTTTTACAATAAACGATTCATATAACACAGCATTCACAATACAAATTATGAAATCAATATTTCTATAATAAGTTATTCTTAACAGCTTTCACAATACTAACTAAGAAATTTTTTTATGAGATACAATTCTTAACAGCTATAACAAAACAAAGTACAAAGATAATATTTTTTAAACAGCTTTTACAAAACTAGGCATAAAAATAATATTTTATACAATACATGATTCTCAACAGCTCTAACAAAACAAAGCATAAAAATAATATTTTTTACAATAAACGATTCATAAACAGTTTTGACAATACAAAATATGAAACATATTTTTACAATAAATGATTCTAAACAGTTATAACAAAACCTTCGCTGCAAATGTCATATTTTTGGTGATCTTCTCAAATGCTACTTGATTACTCATTTATTCTGCATTTGATAGACGAGTCCTAAAATCTTTTATAGTTTTTCTAGACTTCTTTAATTAAATATAAGTTTTCTCGCATGCTTTTGTAACAACTTCTAATTCTTAGGGTAGCATCATGGGGTGCGAAGTCAGAAGTCCTCCACGTGTGCCTGGTAGTTGCGGGTCCCTCTCGATACGTCTGGAGGGAAGAGCAGCTACTGGGCCGGTGCACCCTGGGCGCGGCAGTAATCTTCCTCGAGAAATGAGAAGAAATTCTTACTCCTTGGGGAAGGTTACTGCCGCGGCTAATTATTCTGACATGGGTGGGGTCCGTCCCGGACCAACGGCGCGTTCCACTGCGTGACCCTCTGATCAGCAGAGGGCATAGCAGAGGAGTGAGGGCGGGCTCGGTGTGCACTTACCCTGCCTCCGGGCAGACAGTGAAGGATTCATCCTTTGCTGTCACCGCCGGTCTCGTAATCCCAGTATCGAAGTGTCGTGGATCATGTCTCGCGGCTTTGATTGGGACCGAGGGTCTTGGCTTAACCGCCCGGACCGCGAGGGAGAAAACCTCTATAAAAAGTTACCCCGAATCTCAAGCGGCGACGCACCGCGAGGGGATGGATGGCTGACGGGGTTCTATGAACAAATCAGTCGATAGTGCGCTCCTCGCCAGGGTACCTGCAGACCCCCTGGCGAGTAATAAATCCTCTAAATCTGCTTACCTTGGTAAGGGGTCACTGCCAAGGTGGACATTTAATTACTCCCATACTCGTGGGTACAAATATGGAAAATAAAGAACAAAAAACCAAAACCGCCGGCAACGGCAACGTAGAGGAGAGGAGGAACGATGCGGGGACAGAGTCCGACGCCGCATCGAGCAGCGTGGGAGGCTCAGAGAGCTCCCGACGCGTGGAGCCTGGGACCGCGGAGACCAGTAAGTTCTTCCGCAAGCGGTCCAGGCGGGATGGCGACCAGGGGTCGTCAGCCGGAGAAGAGGAGACTTCGGCCCGGAAAATCCCCACCAACAGGCGGGGCGGGCTGAGAGGCAAGGGGAGGGGGCCCTCTGACAATCAGAGGGCCGAACAAGCGGCAAAGCATGCCGAGGAGGGGCGCCACCCGGGCGATACGGCTCGGGTATCAGGCGAAGAGACGGATGCGACTGGCGGCTCCGAGATGGAGCGTAAGGCCAGATTCGTAAAGGAGGTGGAGGCCACGATCAAGGTCGTGGCCCATAAGCAAAAGGCCTCCTCAAAGATAAAGGCCATTCCCGCGGCCTCCGCCTCCATCATGGCGGCTGCGGAGGCCAACTTTGTTGGGGCCGAGCTTAATGTAAACGAGGTAGCGGAGCTGCGGGCGGAAGTGGCCCGCCTGACGTCCGCCATGGAGACTCTCCAGAAGGAGAACGAGAAGCTCCGCGCAGACCTGGCCAGTCTACGTGAGCCTGCCTCTCGCGCGGCGCCCCAGACGCAGCGCCCAAGCCAGCCCGTGCCGGTGGAGAACCAGGGTCTGAACCTGGTCCGGCAGGAGCTGGCTGCCTTCCAGCACCGGTTCTCCGTGCTGGAGGGCATCGTCCTGCGCCCCCCCCCTAGGGGCAAACAAGACGGCGGCGAGGCCGGCAACGGTCTCGTACGCGGCGGCCACAGCTGCCGCATCCAGGCCGGGGCCGTCCAGCCAGCCTTCGGGCGGGGCTGCAGTTGCCCCTCCTCCCCCTGAAAAGCCGGCTCCGGCAAAACCGGTACCGGCTGAACCGGCTCCGGCTAAGCCGGCAACGGGAAAGAGAGGCAAGGCGAAGACAAAAAAGGGCAAAGCGGCAGCACAGGTGGTGGCTGCGCCAGCCCCAGTGCCTGCGGCGAATGTGCCAGCGCCAGCGGCAAGCCAGCTGCCGCCGCCGCCACCGCCCCCTCAGCTCCCTACACCTCCCACGGCTGAAGCCGGTTGGCAGGTGGTCGGGGACAAAAATAAGGGGAAGAAGGCAGCCAAAAAGGCCAAAGAGCAGGAGCGGCAGCGCCAGTTCAGGGCGCGCAAGATGGCGGCTAGGCTCCGCGCCCCGAAGACCGCAGCTGTAGTGATTACACTACAGCCGGACGCGGAAAAGAAGGGCGTTACCTACCGCGATCTGCTCGCGAAGGCGAAAGAGGCGGTGGATCTCGGGGAGCTCGGGATCACCGGGGGCCTCCGGCTCAAAGTCACCCAGACGGGGGCCCGTATGCTGGAGATCCCCGGGGAATCCAGTGGCGCGACCGCGGACGCTCTGGCTGCGAAGCTCAGAGCGTCCCTGGACGCGGACGAGGCCCGAGTGTCCAGGCCCGTCAGATGCGCAGACCTGCGCATCATGGGTCTGGACGACTCGGTATCGGAGAAGGAGTTAGTGGCCGCCGTCGCCAGGTCCGGGGGGTGCACTACTGACCAGGTCAGGTCAGGCGCCATACGCCCGGACCAACAGGGTATGCATGCCGCCACGGTGTGCTGCCCTGTTACGGCGGCCAAAACCATAGTGGAGGGCCGAAGGCTTCTGGTGGGCTGGGTCTCAGCGCAGGTTAAGCTGCTGGAGCCCAGACCTCTGAGGTGCTACCGCTGTCTCGTGGGGCACCACGTATCTGTGAAATGCGCCTCGGAGGTTGACCGCAGTGGCCTTTGCTTCCGCTGCTGTCAGCCCGGACACATATCGGCGACCTGCTGCGCCACGCCGCACTGTGATGCATGTGCGGCGACCGGCAAGCCAGCCGATCACCGGGCCGGAAGCAAGGCCTGCGTGCCACCCGCCAAGGCCAAGGCCGCGGGTAGGGGAGGGCCCTCCGCCGCCACCGCCTCTGTGGCCACCGCCGCAGTCGCGACTGCCGCCGCCGCCGCCGCCGCTGTCACTGTCGCTGCCGCCGCCGCCGCGACACCGACGCCCGCAGAGAGGCGCCCCGTGGAGGAAGCTGAAATGGAATGCCTATAACGGCCCCATTAAGCTTCCTCCAGGCGAATATCAACCACTGCGCCTGCGCTCAGGATCTGTTGCTCCAGAGCATGGCGCAGTGGTCGATCAACATCGCTGTGGTCGCTGAGCCGTATTTTGTCTGGCCTAGGGAGGACTGGGTGGCGGACCTTAACGGCTCAGTGGCCATCATTTCTTCAGCCGCCGCCGGTACCCCGACCCTTGAAGGTGTCAGGAGGGGTCAGGGGTGCGTAGCAGCACGGTTCGGGGAGTTCGTCGTTGTGGGGGTGTACTTCTCCCCGAACCGATCTCTCGCCGAGTTTCACAACTCTCTTGCAGAGCTGAGAGCAGTCGTCGTCGGAAGTAATCCCCTCCCCGTACTTGTCCTCGGGGACTTCAATGCCAAGAACTTGGCTTGGGGTTCTCGTCGTACAGATGTGCGGGGTAGGATGGTGGAAGACTGGGCTCTGGAGACAGGCCTGGTCGTCCTAAATCGGGGTTCTGTCCCCACGTGTGTGCGGATGCGGGGCGAGTCGGTGGTGGACATTTCGTTCGCTAGCCCCGCTCTGTCGCCGCGTGCCATTGACTGGCGTGTCATGGAGACATCGCCAACGCCTTCAACTTCATGCCCTGGAGCTGCATTAGGGAGGCACTCCGGTATCACCGGGTGCCGACCTATCTCCGTCGTATAGTCGGGGACTATCT